TTAGTGGGTTAGAGGGCCCGCCGGCCGCGCGCACTGGGCGCAGACATACATGCACGTGCCCCACGCACCCCGCGTTAGTCTGAGGCTGGTTAGGCAGGTGCCAGCCACCGCCCTCCCAGGGCACCAAGGCGAGACCAGCAGCGCGCGAGGACTTCCCTCCTCCTCCTCCTCCCCCCAGCGGGTCAACTAGGGCGGAAAGGGCCCGGCCTTGAGCCAGTGTCAGGCCCTGGGCCCTGGAAGATGGCTCTGGGTGCCGGCTGAGAGGAGAGGGGTCCGGAGCTCAGGCTTCATGGAGGTTCTAATGGGAGGATGGTTTGCAGCTCCTCCCCTGCTCCTCTGAGCTCCTGAGATGGAGGGGAGGGGAGGGGAGGGAAGAGGGGAGGGCAGAGAATTCCCGGCTCAGGGCTTAGGGCGGGGAGCTGTGGCTGCAGACACTGGGAGGTGGTGGTGGGTGCAAGCACTGGCCTCTGCGGATGGGATCCGGGAGGTGAGAGCTGGGATCAGGGGCTAGGAGGATCTCAGGTCCAGGGGCCTGAGGGTTGGTTCCTGGGGTGGGGGCTGGGGAGTGGCCAGGCCAGGCACTCACCGCCACCACCTGGCCCTTGCGGGGGTCGATGATACGCAGGGTCTTATCCTTGCAGGTGGTGGCCAGCAGGCTGCCATTGCTGTTCCAGCACACGCTGTGGATGATGTCCGGGTGCATGTCGTCCAGGCTCAGGAGCACCTCCCCGGTGCCCACGTTCCAGATGATGATCACATTGTCACCACCTGCCCGGAGTGGCCAGTCACCATCACCTGGGCCCTGCCTTTGCCACCCTCCCCCCAAGAGCTACAGTAGGGATCCCTCGCTAGGCCCCCAGACCTGCACTGAGCAGGACATTCCGGGCAGTGGGGTGCCAGGAGAGGATGCCCACGCGCTTGGAGTGGCCTTCTAGTGTGATGATGGGCTCTGTAATGTTGCGCATAGGGGTATAGTCTGGAATCTGCCACACCTGGGTAGGAGGAAAAGGCAGAGGGTGGGTAGGATGAGGAGCTACTTTGTCCCTCAGCTCCTCCCTTACTTCCCCTCCCTGCTCCTCCAAGACTACTGGTGTCAAATGTAGGGCAAGATGTGATGGTGCCTGCCTGGGTCAGAGGCGGCTGGGAGCCAGGAGGGGCACTGCCAGCTCTCCAGAGATCTTCATCACCTTCAGAGCGGTAACTCCCTACTCTTCACCCCCAAATTGGCCATGGTTATTATTAGTCCTATGCAGTGCATCCTGGGAGTGGGCATGTAGCTAAAGATAGCCTGGGAGCTGGGGAGGACAGGGCCCTGGGACCCAGCACCTCCCTTAGCACCTTCTCCAGAACAGGTGAGGCAGCCCCAGCTGCTTCCCCTGCCCAACGACCCAGCGGCTTCCAACTGGCTCCTACCATGATGGTGGTGTCATCTGAGGCACTGGCGATGACGTTGTCATTGTGTGGGCACCAGTCGATGTCCAGCACCGGGGCAGTGTGCCCAGTGACCAGTGGGTAGTTCTTATCCACTCGTCCTGTCTAGAGGAGAGAGAGAGAGAGAGAGAGAGAGATGTGGGCCACTCTCCTGTGTGATTTTGGGGGGCGGGCAGGGGACCTGTTGACATCTCAATTCTCTATCATTCATTTTCTCTTTGCAGACCCCTCTCTACACCTCCAATCTCATTCAGCCTACTTCCTGTACTTTGGTGAAGGCAGACAGAGATGAAGTCATTTAATACAGTGGGGCCTTGACTTACAAGTTTAATTCGTTCCCAGACTGAGCTCGTTAACTCAAATTACTGTCAACTCAATGCAAAAAATCGGCCGAGAGACAGCTGGTATCTCAAAAAACTCGTTAGTCGGGACACTCGTAAGTCAAGGCCCCACTGTATCAGGGACTCAGACACAGAGAGGTCAGGTGACTTAACCAAGGACACACAAGATACTGGTAGAGCCAAGATCTGAACTCTTAGTCCAGTGCTCCTCCAAAACGCCTGCTTGGAGGCTGTTCTTGAGCCTGTTCCCCCAGTTGGGGTGTCTATGGGGAGCCCCTGGTGGAAGAGGTGAAGGTGAGATAGTACATAGTGTAGCCCCTGACACCCTTGGCAGATTCCCTCCTTGTCACTGGTTTACTTTGGAACCTCAAGCAGCAGGCACTCCTGGTGCCTGTTATGCTCCAACCTGAGCTGGGACCCATCTATTTTTGGTCTTTATGGGCTGTTCATGGGGGCTCTGAAGCCGTTGCTGGGCTGGCATCGGCCCAGACGGTGGGGGAGAGGGTGGCTGTGTGGCACTGGAATGACAGTAGTAACTGGGGGAGGAGGTGGCTCCAGCTGAAATTTGAGCCCTGGGGACAGTGTCCTTGTATGGTGTCTGCATTGTCCTGGAGTGAGTCATTGGCTATTGTCAGGTCTTCCTGCCACCTGTGGGGCCTCCCCTAACAAGGTGTAGGGGGCAGAATCCAGGTCAAGGTCATGCTTGGGGTGGGCAGGCTGGGGGTGGAGATGGCAGAGGGGCTTCAGGCTACTTGGCAAAAGGGGTGGTCGTTACCTGGGTCAGGGAGCAGGGCTCTGGGCTTCTGTGTCATGACCCCCTGACCTCTGTTCTCATGCACCTCCCTGTAGGAACCAGAGCAGGGAGGTGGCCAGGGACTCTGAGAGCCCGACTCTGTCCTCCGCGTGAAGCGGTGGGGTGTGATTTAGCCAAATGGTTATCCTGGGCTGGGGAGAAAGAGGCTCACACCCAAACCATGAGGGGCTGTGGCATTAGGAGAGAGAGAGGAAGAGAATCTGGCCAGGCCTTGATTCCACTGCTTCCCAACTATCTCCCTCACCCACTCCTGGTCCCAGCTGGGACCAGGGTGCTGGGCAGTGAGTGGGTACAGGCCACCGTGAAGCTGCTGCTTTGGGAGGGGAACGGAGTCTCCTAAGGGGCCCGTGAGGGCGTGGGGAACAGGGAGCTGCCAACCCAAACAGCCCGCCTGACGGAGGAAGGGAACTAGGTGAGAACGGAGGCTGCTGCCAGGAGTGCCCAGGGGCCACAGCCAGTGTCCTCCCGCTGGCTTCCTCTCCTCATCCCTCACCTTGGCCAGAGGCAGGACGATGAAGGCACCTCCGCCTCCAGCCTCCACAATAATGGCCAGGAATTTGGGGTTGACGGCGCAGAAGGAGCTGTCCCATGTGACCTTGGACACACGGATGTCCTCGTAGGCCTGGTCGGCCTTTGCCGCCTGCCCAAACACATGGCGAAACTTGCTCTGCCGAACCACGCGCCGGCTCATGGCTGGGGGCAGTGACGGAGGCTCTCAGTGCCCAGAAACGCCTGCGGTCCTTAGTCCTGTGAACTGTGGGAGGCAGGAAGAGAGAGAGTGTGTGTGTGAGAGAGGGTGGGGGGTGGGTTAGGGAGCAAGTGAAAAGGCTCATCTGGCCAGGAGTTGGGTATAAATTAATTCAGAGTCTGGTCCTAGAAGCAGGGAGCTTTCTTCCAGGTGATCAAAGTATGAGACAGCTCTTTGCCACCTCTCAAGTGGGGCTTAATGCAAGGGACTAGGATGTGGGTGGGCCTGACTTCTCAGAGACTCAGACTGAGGGGGCACTGGGCCCAAAAGCTTCCTGGAAGGTGAAGTGGTTTGGGGAGGAGCCTCAAGGCCAGGCTGCCCTCCCACTGCCAGCCTTGAGTGAGCATCTCCTCACAGAATTGGTTCATCTGCCAGAGGCACCTGGTCCAGAAGCAGAGGCCTTGGCCCTTGGATCCTGGCTAAAGCTGGCTGTGGGGCTGGAACGGCAGCCCCCCACGGTCCTCATCTCTGGCATAGTTCAGGCAGAGGGTTTGTAATTTTCTAAAAATTTGCCGCGGAGGAGTTCCTCCTGTCACCTAACCTGAGTCCTTCCTGCTGCTGTTTTCATCCATCTCCTCCATGTTGTTTTGGGGACACAGTGCAAGGTGGGTCATCCTCCTTCCACTCCACACTGCACTGGCTTCTCCCAAAGGCCCTAACGGCGGTTCTGCCTTTTGCCTCCCATCCTGTCCGTCCTGCGTCTCCTCTGAGTCCCGACTCCTCCTAAACTCTCCTGGGGGTGAGGGTGGATTCTGCAGCCCGGGGCCTAAGGCCTGGACTTCCCGAACCCTCCTTGGGCCTCCTGCCCCAGCACCGCGTTCTTGTGAGACTAGGTGTCTGCACCCTTTGGGCGCCGGCCGCTGCCCGTCCAAATATAGACACCAAGTCTGCCCCACCCGGGGCGATTTTGGTGGCAGCGGGGGAGGGGGGCGCAATCCTGTGCCCCCTCCAGGGATCCTGCCTGCTCGGCTGTCTGCGGTGGTGGCGGGGGGGCGCCACTGCAGTCCCAGCTGCTGCTGCCATCAACCTGCGAAGGCGGAGCCCAGGCGGAGGGCGGGACCAGAGGTGCCCCGCCCCATCTCGCAGCGGGAAAGTTGAACTCTGTGGCCTCGGAAAAGCGTCAAAAGTAATCGTTTTGGCTCAGTGGCTAGAGCCTCGGCCTGTGGACTAAAGGGTCCCAGGTTCAATTCCAGACAAGGGCACAAGCCGGGGTTGCAGGCTCGATCCCCCCCCAGTGGGGGGCGTGCAGGAGGCAGCCAATCAATGATTCTCTATCCTTCTCCTTTCCTCTCTAAAATCAATAAAAATATTTTTTTAAAAAAGTGTGTGCGGGGTGTGGGGTGTGCGCACTCCTCACCCGCCCTCGGCTCCTACCGGGTGTGATGGGCGCTGAGAGGGGCAATGGATGAGGAGGGGGCGCGGTCCTCTCAGAGCCAGAGGCCTGGCAAGATCAGGTGCCTTCTCGCCTCATTCTTGCTGCAATCACACTCCCAGTTTAGCCCGGGGTGGGGTGGGGTGGGGGAGACAAGGAACCTGGCCGGGGGACTGCACCTCCAGACCCTCTTTCGGAGAGGTCCCGGAAGATGCTCTGGGGGAGAAAAGCGAATGCACCCGGACACCCTGGGAACGCCAGTTCAAAGGGCAGCGGCTGTAACAGGTCTTTAGCCAAGTTATTTTTTTAAGTTACTTATGTATGGATTTATTTCTAATCCTCACCCGAGGATACTTTTTCCATTGATTTTTTTAGAGCGAATAGAAGGGAGGGGGAGAGACACACAGAGAGAAGAGACATCCACGTGAGAGAGACACATTGACCAGTCGACCAGGCGGGGAAAGGAGCCTGCAGCCGAGGCCCGTGCCCTTGACCAGCAGTCCGCTCTATCCACTGTGGCCAACTTTCAGATGCCCAGCCTGACTCCTAAAGTCTTCTGGGCCGTGTTTGAATCGGTGCCCGCCTCTGTTCCAGGGAAGACCCCGCCTCTTCCCAACCCTCTCAGGACCCAGAGATCTGGGTATGGACCAAAGTTAAAAAGGAGATAAAAAGAAATCTGGTCAAAATACAGTCAGTGAATAACAATTGGTCCCTGTAGCTGCAGTCTACCTAGCGCCCGCCCCCTGCCTGGAACTGTTTTTCTTTTTTAAAAAAAATATATTTTTATTGATTTGAGAGAGAGAGAGGGAGAGATAGAAATATCAATGATGAGAGAGAATCATTGATTGGCTGCCTCCTGCATGCCCCACACTGGGGATCAAGCCTGCAACCCAGGCATGTGCCCTTGATGGGAATTGAACCTGTAATCCTTCAGTCTGCAGGCTGATGCTCTGTCCACTGAGCCAGCTAGCGAGGGCTGGATCTGTTTCTTTGGATCATAAAGCCCCGGGGGGCGGCGGCACGGGGCCAGTTATTCCTGCTCTCCGGGCACAGCTGGGAATCAATCTAAGTTTTCCAGAGGGCAGAGGGGAGAGGAGATGGCGGGGACCTGGGGGGCCCTCTCAGGCTCCTTTCTCAGGCGAGTTCAAGTCCTCATGACTTGGAGGGGAACAGAATCAAACTGTTCCAAGTGCTCCAGAAAGAATTCATGTTACCGGGGGGATCATAAGGGGAGATGAGGAGTCTCCCATTTACCTAAAGATTCCAGGCACAGAATTAGGAAGAAAAGACCTTAATGACTCAGTTGCTCCCTAGTAACAACAGCTCACACGTGCTAGACACTCTCCTAAGGGCTTTAGACATATTAATTCCATCCTAACGGTCTTCTGAGATGGGTGTTATTAATATCCCTACTTTACAGATGGGAAAACTGAGGCACAGAAGTTAAGTAGCTTACCCATCACTCAACTGGTAGTTGATGATGCCGAGATCCTTACCCAAGTGGTCTGGTGTCTAGGTGCATGTTTCTCAGACCACGCGTTTCTGCCTCTCCTTGAAGGCCAGTGACACTTTCCCTCACACATGCTGATGCTGACAGTTACTGCTTCGTGGGCAGAGAGGAAAGGACATCAGGACTAATTAGAAAACTGGAGTTCCAGCCCTGGCTGTCACCTTATTTTTGCAGCTTTCTGGGCTGTAAAATGACGAGGGCTAGGTCAGGTCCTTTCTAATTCTGCACCACCTGTTGGCAGAGAAGGAGTTTGACATGTTGCCTCCTATTCTAAAAGGACATCTTTTGTCCCCCTGGCCTTTCCTCCTCTTTAAAGAGCTGGGCGCTCCATTCTAGAGGGAAGGTCTGGGACTAGGAAGCAGGGATCCTTCAATTCAACCTGCCTTCAGTTCCACCGTCTGGGAAAGGGGAGGGGGCGGGGGGCGCGAGCTGCTCGCCAGTTACAGAGCCAGGAGTCACAGGTATTGCTTGGACCTGGCATGACTCAGACCTGCCCTCTAGCCGTCTTTTGGCTGCCCAGCCCTGGCGCAGTTGGGGGTGGGCGGAGCCACAGCACAAAGTGCCAAGCGGGTGAAGAAGCCACTGGGGCTGGTGCTTTCCCTTCTTGTTATTCAAACTGTCAGCTGGGCTCTGAACTCTCTCTGTGGAAAACAAGCATGGATTTCATTTCATAAAGCCGTTTTCTGGAAGAGGTGTCCTGGTAACTTGAGACATGATTTGGTCCATCTCCTGGGCTAGAAAGCCCACACTGAGCTCATCTGGACTGGTTGGGGCTCTGGGCACCAGTGGTATGCTCCTCTCACTTGATATGGACAGACCAGAATGAAGCAAGCTGACAATGTTAGTTCAAGGCAGTGTTTTTGCTGGAAATTTCATTAAATGTTAGCGATTTGGAATCGGAGCTTTCCCCACAAAGTAGTGCTGCCTTGTATGCGATGAGCAGTCCTGATGTCTGTGGAGGGCTGGGAGAAGCGGGAACCTGTCCCTCCACCCCAGCCTGTGTTACAGAACTGCCCTTTCGCCCTCTACCAAATGCTTCTCTTCTAATGGTGGGAGAGGGTTAGTTTTTACGTTGGAGAGTCATGCCCCATTTGTAGAAACCTTAGAGTAAGCAGAGGTATTGTGCTGAAGGCTTGGGTGGGTGTCTTGAGAGGTCACCCACCCAAGAGTTCCAGTCAGGGCAGCTGTCCCCGAGCAGTCACTCTGCACCGCAGATGGCGAAGGAATTTCGGTCCCTTTGCTTATTCATTCTCCTAACATTCAGGTGGTGGCTTTGGCAAAAGCCTCTTTGACCAGGCAAGTTCCCAGCTTAGTCACTTGATTGGAGCCACAGTATCTGAAATGATCTTTAGTGATCCTATTTCCCATGCGCTCTTTACTCTGTGGGAGGTAGAAAGTTATATTTTTTCCCAGAGGTCAGCTTAAGGGTGTGCTTGATGGAGATCAATCAATGAGCATTGCTTCATGTTTATCATCAGTGTTCTCTTCCAATCCCTATGCCTTCTTCCACCCTCCCTATTTGTTGTGCTTGATTAAGTACACGCATTTCATCTTCAAAATAAAAATTTATTCAGTCTGTAACAAGAACATTGAATCTGCACATTTGCGCACAAGTTCACATTTAAAAACAGCGGAGCACATCAGTAATAAAAAAATCTCTGATACAAGTGGAACATCCCAATCACTATGAAGATTAAGGAAGGAGATGAGACCACTCTTTATATTCTGCTTCAAATGCCTCAAAAAGGTCCCAGAGATCCCAGGGAGCACCTGCTTCATTTAATAAAATGTGAGCATAAAGTTTGGGGTGGCCTGGGGCAAAGGTAACAAGTCTATTGGACTAGTTTTCCACATTTATAACAAGCCCTACAAAATAATGTAGAGAGAAAGAAAAAAGAAAAAGAAAGAAAAGAAAGGCACCTTAAGCTATACCAAGCAAACCAAGTCCAATAAAACATAAAAACCAACTCCCTGTGGCCTTATTGACTGGGAAACATTTCAGGGCATTCCCCAGTTTACCGGCTGGGTCACCAGCTCGAGCGAAGCCCTGGGCATTAGCTCTGCATGTGTATACAGGATGCTGCCGCCAGTGTCGTGGCGAGGACACAGATAGTCATATACCCCTTGGGGCCTGTTCAAGCCCACGGGGGGTGATTCCAG